TAAGTTCCTTTCGATTTCTGCACTGTACTCGCTCAGTAGGCAGTGCTCCAAATCCATTATGGTTTGGGCTCTTGTCTCCCCTCCCTCTCAGTTCAGTCACAAAGTGCTTACTTTAGAGCAGGGGTGGGGAACTTCCTGGGGTCTACATGCAAGGGGAGTGACCCTTACCTTTGTCCAGTAAGGCTACATTCCAGCCATGCAAAAATTTAAGGGCTTCTGCACTCAATTCACCTGCCTGTCCCGACAGTCTATGCAGCCTCCATCCATACAAGCAAGAGACATCATTGCCACTCAAGGATACATCCCAGCCAGGCAAAAGCACTCAAGGGGAGTATGAAGCACAGCCCGTGATGGGTGTGGCCTCAGTAGAGCCCTGAGGGCCAGATAAAGAGGCCTTGGAGGCCACATTCAGAAGTTCCCTGGGGTCCTGCTTTAGAGTAGCTAGGATTTCCCTGGGGAGAACGCTGTGCCATGTTGCCAAGAAGCAAGCATGACAATCGAATACATTTGGTTCTTTTTGCCAAACCGTGCTGAGGATGCCCTTGGCTTCAAGGAATCACATTTAAGGATTCAGTTTGGAACGGGCTAGATTTAAGTTTCCACAGAAGGGTTTCTGCAAGAAGAGAGGCCTTTCCCCCCACCCCACCCTCCTCCTTTCCTGCTAGCGATAAACCACCCATCGGAACGCACACTCTCCAGGTGGCTGGGATTTTTATGCAGATTTGTTTTCTTAGCCTAGGGTGCTTGTAGTTCAGCAGTTAGTTCTCCTTAAAGTGGCTTTTAAGAAGCTGGCTCCAGCATCAAAGCTTATTTAAAATGTAAATTAATTTTGTTAATTTCAGAAGGAAGGTTCTAACTCTGGAAAGCTTAGCGTGTAGTTGAAGTGTTTAGCAAAGTTCGTCCACTTGCAGCCTCTGTGGGCACGAGGCACTTCAGCGGGGGTTATTATGTATGCCTATCATCCTTTGCTTGGAACGCTCCTGCAACCTGCAGGCTGGTGCATTTTTAAGGAGATGGTGGTGGCAGCGGCGGCGGCAGGACTTGTAAAGTGTTTTCTCTTCAAAAGAGAACATTTTCCTTCATCTTCGCTCTCAATAAATGAAGGATAATGGGACAATAAAGTCAATAGAAAGGTTCTGATGCTGCTTTCCTGATTAATAGCACATCTGTGAGTTTCGCAGCTCCACTAAGGCAAACATCTGTTTTCTTCTTCTTCTCACTCAAAGTAAAATGCTTCGTTTTTGCATCCCGGGGGTTTACGCATTTACTCCAGTGGCAGGTGCCGGAAGTGGTGAGATTCTCCAGTGGCCTCTAAAGGCAGCTACTGTGTGGATTTCCTTTGGGGCGGCAGATGCAAAATTTTCCAGAATCCTGTTGTTTACTAAGTGTGGCACTGAATGATAGAAATAGGCTGCTGGCCTAGTTTTTATATTGTATTCGTGTGCCCCCCCCCCGGACACTGACATTTTCAAGTTCCTGCTCTCTGGGTTAACCTAAATATATTGCAACATGCACACCTGTCCATAGGGTACTTTTTAGGTTCTTAAAAGCAGAGATGCCTCTGTTAACTATCAGGACTCTTCCCAACCCACACCCTTCACATCCTCCTTGGGTATTTTTGTCTGGCTTGAACTTTGATAATGCCTCTTGCTTCCCTGGATAGAGGATAGAAAGGGATGCCCAAGTGCTTGTAAAACTAGCCTATGGTACAAAGGTCAAATTGCATCCATTGCTCCACTCACTTTCCCCTCTGCCCTGACTAGCTCTGGCATGCAGCCCCTGGAAAGTCCCCCAGAAGAGAAGGTGGCCCTCTGTATGAAAGAGGGTCCTCACTCCTGCTTGAAAGTGTAGCCTTGCTATCCGTTCTGTACCTCATCCTCACCACCTCACCACCTCTGAACCCTTGCATCCTTCCCATTCTGCACCCAACCTGCAGTCTTCAAGCAAACAGGTTGTTCAGTAATTTCTACCAAGTCGTAGCCATTTTTGGAGATTGTTTGCAGCATGGCGTGACAATCCTGCACAGCCTCAGATTTCTCCCATAATGAGATGAGCGATCAGGGAGTTTGGTAACCCAGCGAGGCCCCTTGTAGGCGAATGCCTTTTGGAGCAACTAGCTTAACCATTAACACGAGCCTGGTAATTGAGGTGTAATTTTTGCTCGTACAAAAGCAGCAGCGTGTGATCATTTCCCCCCCAGGTCAAGGGAGGGCACGCTTTCGTCCATGGACCTTGTAATTAATTGCTGCGGTTTGCAAGCGAGTGCTGCTTCCATGTCCTACTGTTGAATTTTCAGCCAGGGGAACTCTGAGGCATTCTGGGTGGACAAACTGGTCACTTTGAGGGCCAGCTTGATGAATAAAGGAATTTCAACTTTAGCAGGGACCTGTTAAGTGGGTCCTTTTGAGGATGTTGTGGTGGTCAAGCTGTCTCTCAAATCACCTGCAGTTACTGTAAAAATGTACCACAACTTTATTGTTTTCTGGAGGAATGCATATTTGCATTTTATAACTGAAAACATTATAAAACATTACAAATTTAAAATCTTGAATAGTTCCACGGAGTTTGGAGCCCAACCTGTGATATGTCTGCAAATGTACATTTAAAAACCATATAGCAGGCACGTCCAATTTCCAAGAGACTGCGAACTACTCCCACTATATATTAAAAAAACAACACAGGCAATGATCTATCCATTGGATTGACCACAGTTATTGAGCTTTTGGGGGGGGGGAAGCTTAATCAAAGTTGTTGACATCCCTGCCATTTAGCATCTAGCACAGCACCTTACAATTGCTACAACTGGCAGAAAAATCATCAAGTGTTCTGCCAAGACCCTCAGCAATTTCAGGTGGTCTCTGGGAAAGAAAGTTTGAGAATGACTGCACTATACCATTGAAATGTAAGCTAAGACAATCATGCATCACGCCACAGTTTGATCTAAGTGTCTTTAATTACCAGAATCAATGCAGAAACTCTGCCATCAATATGCTGTGTGATATGCAATACATATAGCAGCATATTCCACATGATACTGGAAGTAACCCATATGAACAGTGTGACTTGTAGACCAGTTTTGCATTGAACGTTGATTGATTTGATGGAAGTTGTTAGCTCCTGCATCCCTCCATATTTCAACCCAACTGATCAACACAAATGTTGATCGGAAATTGTCATGCTCAGAGAGCAAAGAGAAGCCCGGTGGAATACAAATGTATGTTGAAACAAGACATAACATTTGCGTGGTATTCTAGGGTTTGGCAAATTGCCTTCCTTGAAAAGATCTCATAAACTAAAAGTATCTGAATAGGCAGAACTCAAATTACTGTTACTTGGCTGTACGGCATGATTTTGTTTCTTATACAAATATTGGGGCATGTGGTCTCTCTCTCTCTCTCTCTCTCTCTCTCTCTCTCTCTCTCTCACACACACACACACACACACACACACACACACACACACAATCTTTATTCTCAATAGTGATGGAACTCACAGGTGGAAAATAATTTTATTTATACATATCCTTGTTATTTATTAGTCAATACTTTATTATTATTGGACCTGCACTGCATCTTTGTACTTTTGTCCTTCCAGCCTACGCCACCTTATCATTTACATTTTTGATTCTTTGTTTTCTCTCTGTTTCTTATGCTTGCCCTTCTTAACAGGATCAGTAAAATATTAAATGAGACAAGGTACAACATTTGCATGATTTGAGGGGAGGACAAGACTGGCAGTCAAATTTGCCACCTCCCTTTAATAAGCCTCCTGTACCAACTGAAGCTGAGTACCCCATTGTCTTCTCCATACGTCATTCATGCCTAATTTTGCATTTCCTCCCCCTATCCCACTTCTCGTTTCTCCAGAGCCAAGGAGAACGTCTCCTCTCCCGGGAGGCACCCGAAGAACTGAAGCAGCAGCCTCTTGCTCTGGGGTACTTCGTCTCTACTGCCAAAGCTGAGAACCTCCCTCAGTGGTTCTGGTCATCCTGTCCACAGGCCCAGAATCAGTGTCCCCTCTTTTTGAAGGTTTGTTGGACATTTTTTTTGAAAGGAATGCCATTGCTTCTGGTGGCATTTGTAACCTGAGTAGAGCTCTTTTACTCTTGGTCATAGATAAGTTCTTAGACCCACCTTTGTAAGTGTCTTGTATGTGCCCTTTGCTGTAGAAAAATGCACTCAGGGGATTGTTGTGTTGCCGTCTTTGGCACGACCACATCCATCTTACCTTAGCCAGCGCTTCTTACTCTTTTGTAAGAATGTACCTCAAGCAGACAGAAGAAGGGCAGGGAATTGTAACTGGGTTGTATGCTCCACTTCAGATCCCTGACTCAATCCCTAGCATCCCCGCTTACTGGCACTGAGAGGGGAGCCTCGTTCTGAGACATAGTCCACGTTTCATGGCTAAGCATGGATTCAAATGCCTGTCTCCCTAGTCCAAGCCCTCTAGGATGGCCAGAAACCTCATTTTAATGTTCACAGGCCTTCTTCCCATCTCTCCTACCCCAATGCCCTCCTACCCCAATGCCCACAATGCCCACCCCAGACCAGATTCATGAATGCTGTTCATAATTCAGCTTGGTGGTATTGTTAAAACTGGGACCAAAGCTCTCAAGGGTTCCTCTAGCCTTCCTGTGAGGCGCTTGGCCAGGGTGGGGTGGGAGGATACTTACCTAGATCAGCTGCAAACTAAGCACCTCACTGAAATGCATATGGGCTTGCCGAACATGGTGATAGCAGCAGTTCCTGCTTTTGTCAGCAAAAACAGATTCTGATGTGATGTGGTTGGGCAGCGAGGGCCAAAATTGCTTTCGTTAGTGGTTCCTCAGGCACCTTCCTTGCATTCACCCCCCTTTCATATTTGCAGAATTTCCATAGCTCCACCCTCCCCATAAGCAGCAAGAACCAGTCTTGATCTCTGACTGAAGGAACCTTTGGCCAGCTTTCCCCCCCACCAAGTTGAAGGAAATGTCTTTGGCCAGTATTTATCATGGGCATCTTTTGGGCAGGTTTTGAGAAGGTTGTGGTTCAAGGGGATGGAGGAGAGAGCAGAACCCCGCTAGCCCAAGCCCTTTGGTCACCTTAGAGTAGCTGCTCCCTCGTCGTCAGGTGGTGGTTATGAACCTGGAAGGAAACTGCAGCAGCCCTGTATGGTGACACCTGTCTTTCCTCCAAAACAGGCATCGTTGCACCACCACATCTCTGTCGCTCATACGGATGAACTCCTCCCTGCACGGAACTCCCAGAGGGTTCCCCACCCCTTGGACTCTAAAACCACGTCTGATGTTCTGAGGTAACTGAGTTTTGTGTCCGTCCCACCCACCCACCCCCGCCCTTTCAAGCCCCGGAAATAAGTGCTGGCCTTTGACCAGCCCTTTGATCTTTGCTCATCTGCTTTGAAAGATGTCTTTTGGCTCGTTCTGCAGACGTTTATGGGAGGGGCATGTGCAAACAGCCCTCCTTTCCGTTGGCCTATCGTTGCAGGACAATGGTGGCTGGTGCCCAACGGGACTAGTGGGATGGAAAGCAGGGAGAGCAACAGTGGGCAGATCCAATGAAAAGCAGAGCAGATTCTGCCCCATCCTCATCCCTGCTGCATCCTACAAGGGCCTCGCTAAGGCGCTGCAACCTGTCAGGCCCACCTCTAGACTGGCTGTAAGGAAGTAGGCAGATAGTTGGAGAGCTAGCAAAGGGCAGATTGAGGTTTGCGGGGAAACACCCCATTCGCCAGCCAGCCTCCACTGTTGCAGGAATTTCCAGCCTAGCTGCCAGGAAGGTTGAGCCAGAGAGCAGTGAGGAATCATCACCAGCATTTGACAACATCCTAGATAGGAAAAGCTTGAAATTTTGAAGATCTTGGAGCAGGCATAGGCAAACTCGGCCCTCCAGATGTTTTGGGATTACAACTCCCATCATCCCTAGCTAACAGGACCAGTGGTCTGGGATGATGGGAGTTGTAGTCCCAAAACATCTGGAGGGCCATGTTTGCCTATGCCTGTCTTAGAGATAAGATCATTTATTTATTAAAGCTAGTGTCTATTGTATTTTGGGTGGCCAAGGGAAGGTACTCACAATCTCCTCTTAGAGCCTTGCCATATTTAGTTGTGTCTTGGAGAAAGAAGCTACATTTCACCCTGCCCTTTAGGCAGGGCTATGCTTCTCAATATTCCGTCTTTCAAAAGTAGAACAGCAAGCTGATCTCAAAATATTGAGCAGTAGGAAAGGGAAACCTCCTTCCTTACAGACCTTTCCCAGGTGTCAAGATCAGCAGGCAGGGTGCCCTTGGTAGTCCCACCTCCCTCCGACGTCTGGGGAGGGTGCCTCGGGATAAAGCATTCTTTGTGGGAGCTCCTAGGCTGCAGAATTCCCTCTCCACAGTGGTGTGCTTGGCACCTTTGCAACACAGCTCTTGTCAAATGTAGAAGACATACTTACCCTCCTGCGATGTATACTTTTTTCAGTTCAATTCTCAAACCTTTATTGGCATTTATACAAGATTCCAATAAGGTTCAGTGCAATAAAATCACTCAGCAAAATCTGCATCTAACACTTAAGTTAATGTTGTATAACATTCATAAATCCTCATTGCATGTTGCAGAAACCTGGCTACTATCTCCATCTTACCAAATAATAATAATAATAATAATAATAATAATAATAGTAGTAGTAGTAGTAGTAGTAGTAGTAGTAGTAGTAGTAGTAATAGTATTTATACCCCGTCCATCTGACTGTGTTGCCCCAGCCACTTTGGGGGGCATATATAAAAACATAAGAAAACATTACACATTAAAAAGCTTCCCTGTACAGGGCTGCCTTCAGATGTCTTCTAAAAGTCAGACCGTTGTTCATTTCCTTGACATTTGATGGGAGGGTGTTCCACAGGGTGGGTGCCACTACCAACAAGGCCCTCTGCCTGCTGCACCTTATTTCTGTGTATTAAAGAGTTATTAATACTGTGTTTTGATTGTCATAACCTGCCCTGGGACCTGCTGGTGAAGGGCCGGTAATTGATATATCAGTAAATAATAATAATAATAATATAATACCCCACCCATCTGGCTGGGTTTCCCCAGCCACTCTGGGCAGCTCCCAACAGAATATTAGAAACACAACAAAACACCAAACATTAAAAACTTCCCCAAACTATCTAAAAGTCCGATAGTTGTTTATTTCCTTGACACCTGATGGCAGGGAGGGTGCCACTACCGAGCAGGCCCTAAAGTAGAAGCCTCAGGAAGTGCAGGTTGTGGTACAGAAGGAGCCCCTTGTCCTGACCACCATCCCCTTTCTTTCCCTTCTCCTCTCCTGCAGGTTTGTGCTGGAGCAGTACAATGCACTGTCGTGGCTCACTTGCAACCCCGCAACTCAGGACCGCAGCTCCTGCCTTCCTGTCCACTTCGTGGTGCTCACACAGCTATACAATGCCATCATGAACATCCTCTAATCACCCGGAAGCGCCTGGATGACCTTCCCCTTCAACCTGAGAAAGACGGGCCGTGGCTCGCGAGGGTCTGAGGAGCCCTTCTCCTCGTCGGACCCCAGCCTCTGGGGCCCAAGCAGCGCCTTGTATCTTCCAGGAATAATAACAGGAGGCTTCTCCAGTGTTTGTGGAGTGTGCCTGGTGGGCCACATCAGGACTTCTGCCAAGCATACCAGACAGTGAGATGTACCGCAACCTCAAGGGCAGTGTTAACGCAGTGGCGGGACGTTAATGGAACAACGGACCACAGAAGACAGTGTCCTTCCCTTTTGTTATTTCTTTTTTGTTATTTTCTGTTTCGTTGCGCACGGATCTCTTTGCCTAAGAGACAAGTGCCCTCCTTTCCGAGCGAAATGTTGTCGTGACCAGTTTGGGTGGCCAAAACTCTTTTAACATTGTTCCTTGAAAAACCGCCGGATGAACGTGGCTGCAATGAAGAACCAGTTCTTGTAGTCTTTTCAAAAGAAAAATAGTGGGATTTCTGTCTACCTGCAATTCCTGTCTGAGTGGATTGGGTTGAATGCATGCATTTGTTACCTGTCCATGTAGATGCGAACGGTCTTGGAGATGCTCTCTTCGAGTTTTGTTTGTTTTTTAATTTATTAATGGGGGCTGTTAAATTATAGAGGACCAGGTACAGTAGTTGATCCAGCTATGCTCTGCCAAGAAGTATTTATCGACATACCTCACATTCTTCTGACTGAGAAATGGGGTAAAAACCATGGAGGAAATCCAAAAATAACCAAGTTAGGAAGAGCATTCGAGGAAGAACTTTAGGAGTCACTATTTTTATTATTATTATTATTACTATCTTTGGTGGACTTTTTTTGATTAAGGAACTCTAGCGAGGTTTAAATAAATTCACATGAACAATAACGCAAAATGCAGGACAACAGACCAGTGGGAGGCAATAAAACACTTTAGCGTCGAGGCAAATTGAAGGGAGAAATACTAATTAAGAGAGGAGTCTGATGGATGTGGAAATTAATCCCGAAGCTCAAGTCACCTATAAACTGGGAGAGACTCATCTGTCATATATTCGTGTGTGTTATGTATGTATGTGTGATATATATGTGCATACACACACACACACACACACACACACACACACACACGTAGATTGTTTACACTCTTATCAGTTTCAAATCTGGTGTATTTGTCTATAGGAAGAAAAATATTATTTCAAAGAAATAATTTTTAAAAGTTGTATCATTAAATTAGTACTTGAAAATGAAAGACCACTGAGGTGGAAAAAAAATGAATCGGTTTAGTTAAAATGTTTGCCATTTTAAAAAAAAAGTTTAAAGCAAATCATATTATTTTTATGACTCCTTAATTCTAGGATTTGAGAAGTCTATGCTGTTAAAAGATCCCATTTCTAATGTTTCTCTTTGCACTGTGGGCAGGCCTGGGCTGCTTTAAAGAAGAGGAATCAAGTATTGTGGGGACGTGGTCAAGGTTGCTGACCATTGTCCTTGGAGAGAATACCATTTTTGAAGTTCTTCCAAAAGTCCGTCTTGTTCTGGTTAAAAAAAAAAAAAAGGAGAAGAAGAAAATAATAATAATAATAATAATTAATTAAAATTTCTATGACTTTAAAGAATATTTTTCTTGAAATGATGGTGTAAGGTTTAAAAACAAAATTTATTATTAAAAATAATAATAATAATCCCATGCGTGATGGGTGAAGGGATCGGTCAGAGGAAGACCCTGTAAATGGATCGCTTTTATTCTCTGCTCTAGGGGCAGGGCAGGGCAGGGGGGACCTTTGCAATGTACAGGAGGGGGAAAAATCAGATATATCAAAACCATTTGTATCTAATGTATACAGTGTAAAATTGATTTTAAAAAAATATTGCATTACTATTTTTTCTTAATCAGAAAGGAAAATTCTCAAGGCCTTTTGAAGAGCATTAAAAGATGAAGATTGTAAACTTGTATACAAAAAAAAAACCTTGGTGAGGAAAACTATGTAAAGTTATCTTTTACCATTTTTGGGATTCTTTGTTCCCAAAATTCACCTGAACTTTGAATTAGAGATGGATTTACTTTTACCTTTTTTCTTTTTAATGGGCTGTTTTTACCAAGGGGGTTCTTTCCTTCCCCAGAGATCCAGTTCTAATGCAAAAATTAAAATGCCTCCCCCCACTACCCCACAAATAAGGGGATGGAGGGGGTAGCGAGAAGTAGTTTTCATCTGGTGGTGTTTTATTTAATTTTTTTAAGTTAATAGAAGCTGGTAACATATTTATACATTTTTGTGCAAAATAAATGAATGGCAATAGATTTTAAAAAGAAAAAATCTTATGTACTTCAGTGTGAAAATCTGTATAATATTTCCCTTTAAAATATGCATTATTTTACTTGTGAGTTTTTTACTGAATTAATCTGAAATGTACAAGCCCTGGATTTCCTACAGAGTGAAGAAGTTATTTTATTTTTTTTAATTTCTAATTTGGAAATCATGCAGAAATTGGAATTATAACAGTTTGAGCGCAGTGGGGTGGGGGTGGGTGGGTGGAGGCAGGCAAGGGGTGTGCAGGGAGTGTCCAGCATGCTTGTATGTATATTTCAGAACCTTTTTTAAGTGTAAAAGCTGTACATTTCTTGGGGCGGGGAGGGGAGGGGAGTTCTGAGCTTTTTTTCCCCCTTGAGCATTTTTGCAGTGAGCCTCTTTTATATATAGCCAACAATTTGAAACAAAAACAAAACAAAACGAGAAAAAAAAAAGAACTACGTGAAGTTCATTTTAAATCTTACAGTATATCGCTGGTACAATACACTAAAAAAAAAAGACTTTGATAAAAAGAAGAAACAATAATAATAAAGACCTCCATTTTAAATGTCATTCATATATTACCTTGTGGATGAGAGCTATATACTTTTACACACTTTTTTAGATGAATAAATTATTGAATTACTGAAACTCGTGTGGGTTTTGCCGCTCTATTTACGTGCTGGTGATTCAAGCTGCTCGTCGGCCTATCTTGAGTTAACTGTGCTCTTTTTTTGGGGGGGGGGGCAAGGCGATAGGATAGCTCAGATTGTAGAGCACAAGACTCTTAATCTCAGGGCTGTGGGTTTGAGCCCCGCGTTGGGCAAAAGATCCCTGCATTGCAGCGGGTTTGATTAGATGCATAGCTGTCAACTTACAGATTTGAAAATAAGGGACCAGCAGCCTCGAAAATAAGGGCTCAGCAGCCAAAATAAGGGATTTTAGTCAACCAGCAGCCAAACGAAGCCTCAAGTGGTGGTTCCTATAGCGCAGCAACCTGGCAAAGGGGATGCAGCAAGGAAAACCACCATCACCTCTCTGCTGGGAAGTGCTGAGCAAAGGCGAGTCCCCAGGCAACGCGGCCGATTTGATCGGCACAAGGCATACAAGCTCCACCCCTCAGTTGTTCTTAGACTCCTTATTGGGTGAGCAACACAGCCAAGCAACACAGTTGGAGCCTCCCTCCTCCCTGGCCGGCAGGGAGGGAGGGAGAGGAGCTGCTTCCTTTGAAACCCAGGAAATTTAAGGGACATCATCAATAAGGGACAGCAGCGGGACATGGCGCTGGGATAAGGGACTGTCCTGCCAAATAAGGGACGCTTGACAGCTATGATTAGATGACGCTCATGGTCTCTTCCAACACTACAATTCTATGATTCCACAGTCGTGAAACATTGCCTTGTTCTAGCATATCATAGTAGACCAGGGCTGCATTCACACGGCAGTTTATTCCATTTCCCCCACGTTCCTTAAGCGATAATTTCCACTTTATTTGAGCTGTCACACCATGTGCTCCCAGAAAACTAACTCCCAGAAAACTAACGCAGCACAGTGCATCTTAAAGCACTCATTTCTGTGTTACTTGATGGGGGGGGGTTGCAATCTCCATAACCCAGAAAATCCAGAAAATCACGGGAGGAAAGTAACGAACTTTGGGGCGATAATCCTGGTATACAGTTATTTCCTGCCATTTTAAAGGAAGCAGGCATGTGCTGAAAGGTTGGGGGATAATGTTCATAGTTGTGCCACGCCACGCCCACTAGTCGGGAATGAAATTCAGAAACACTAGTATTATAATTGGGAAAAATTTCAACTTACCTGGGCTGCATAAATGTTCTGACTCCTCCCGAATCCTTTTAGTGCAGCACAACTGTGCTTTGCAGGGGCTGATGGGGCATTGTAGTCCAAAACCTCACAAGGGTGCCAAGTTGCCAAAGCCTGCTTTCAGGTCCAGGATAAAGCCTCTACAACCTCTTGTTGCAGGAGATTTTCCTGATACAGTCGTACCTTGGAAGTCGAACGAAATCCGTTCTGGAAGTCCGTTCGACTTCCAAAATGTTTGGAAACCTAAGCACGGCTTCTGATTGGCTGCGGGAAGCTTCTGCAGCCAATCGGAAGCCCGTCAGATGTTTGGCTTCCAAAAACAGTTTGCAAACCGGAACAGTCACTTCTGGGTTTGTGGCATTCGGGAGCCAAAACGTTTGAGAACTAAGCTGTTCAAAAACCAAGGTGCGACTGTACTTCCAGTTGTCTTTCCCCACCCTTTTCACAAGGATAATTTGCTTGAGTGGGGGAGCAGCCACTGGCATGGAGGGCTGTGTTGCATGCTCTCTTAATACTTGGCTTTCCTAAAGTTTCTCGAGAAAACCTCCAAAAGGATTGCTTAACCCTTCTCCTCTAAAAAGAAAAGAAAGATACAGTGGTACCTCAGGTTACATACGCTTCAGGTTACACACTCGGCTAACCCAGAAATAGTGCTTCAGGTTAAGAACTTTGCTTCAGGATGAGAACAGAAATCGTGCTCCGGCGGCACGGCAGCAGCAGGAGGCCCCATTACCTAAAGTGGTGCTTCAGGTAAAGAACAGTTTCAGGTTAAGTATGGACCTCTGGAACGAATTAAGTACTTAACCGGAGGTACCACTGTACTGCCCTAGAGAACTTGGGGGGGGGAATGAACCAATTGCTTGCCAAGGGTTTATCCCTCCCATCAACTAGAATGGCCCAGGGATACTTTCCCTCAACTCTCTGACTTTACTGCGCAATGCAGTCTCTACAGCTATTTGGATAGGATAGGAGCTATCACTCCCCAAGTTTTCCAGAGCCTTCATCTGAGATTTATAATGCAGGATGGTGCCCTGAAAAGAATAATTCCAATTCTGTGAATTTTACTGGGAAGAGAAAAGCAAAGAAAATTAGTTCTCAGCATTCCATCCTATCTATAACTTTCCTTATTATAATAACATGCTCCAGAGGGCACACATATTAGGTCTCAAGGCAGCTGCTTCCCAAGTCGAGGGGCTGTGACCCCTGCTCATGGCAACCCCTGTTGCTTGCCAACCTTGCCCACCCCCTACCCCTGTCAGACCCTCCATCCTCTCCCTCTGGTCCTCAACCAAACCCACCTGGCCCTCGCAGTTCCTGCAGGTCCCCCATCCCCAACCCTGTTTCGGCAAATTCGTGGAGGAGGAGGCTTGTCAGTGGCTACTAGCCACAATGGCTATGCTCCGTGTCCACTGTCAGTAATAATTATTTATACCCGCCCATCTGGCTGAGTTTCCCCAGCCACTCTGGGCGGCTCCCAATCAAGTGTTAAAAACAATACAGAGTTAAATATGAAAAACTTCCCTGAACAGGGCTGCCTTCAGATGTCTTTTAAAGATAGGATAGCTGCTTATTTTCCTTCACATCTGAAGGGGAGGGCGTTCCATGGGGTGGGTGCCACTACCGAGAAGGCCCTCTGTCTGGTTCCCTGTAACCTCACTTCTCGCAATGAGGGAACCGCCAGAAGGCCCTCAGTGCTGGATCTCAGTGTCTGGGCAGAACGATGGGAGTGGAGACGCTCCTTCAGGTATACAGGACCTAGGCCCGTTTAGGGCTTTAAAGGTCATCACCAACACTTTGAATTGTGATCAGAAACGTACTGGGAGCCAATGCAGATCTCTCAGAACTGGTGTTATGTGGTCCCGGCAGCCACCAGTCTAGCTGCCCGCATTCTGGATTAATTGCAGTTTCTGGGTCACCTTCAAAGGTAGCCCCACGTAGAAGTGCATTGCAGTAAGTCCAAGCGGAGATAACTAGAGCATGCACCACTCTGGCAAGACAGTCCCACAGGCAGGTAGGGTCTTAGCCTGCGTACCAGGTGGAGCTGGTAGACAGCTGCCCTGGACACAGAGTTAACCTGCGCCTCCATGGACAGCTGTGAGTCCAAAATGACTCCCAGGCTGCGCACCTGGTCCTTCAGGGACACAGTTTACCCCATTCAGGACAAGAGGCAGCAATGCTTCTGAGTGCCAGTTTCTGGAAGCCACAGAAGGGGAGAAAGCTCTTGTGCTGGGGGTCCTGCTTGAAGGTTTGCAACCAGCATCTGGTTGGTCATTGTGAGAACAGGATGCTGGACCAGGTGGGCCACTGGCCTCATCCAGCAGGCTCTTTTTAATGTTCTTAAGCAGGCACTGAGCTGCATCCAATATCCTCTGTCCGTCCGGTTAGCGCAAGGATGAGTTCTCAAAGCATTGCACAGCTTTGAGGAATCCCAGCGCAACATTTGCAA